CGTGACCGGTATGTTCGTGAAAAGAGACATGTCCTCTAACGAAAGCATAGTCATTTCGTTTGGGTAGAGATCTTTCACACCGTTAACGAATTGAAAGGTATCCCAATAGCTATGTGACGCTAGCCGATACTGTATGAGCTTAAGTTTATCCGCTAGTCATTTTGCTGCTGTCTGGCACAGTGAGTTCCTCAAATCGAGGATTGGACGAACCGGTATGCCATCTTTGTGGACCTTCAACAAGCCGCATAACCGAGGTAGGTGTGTGCCGATGGGTTAGAGAAGCTCTACGTCGTGCTAGCTTATGAAGACACCCGCTTGAAGTCTTTGAAAACAGTCAGCTGTGTTTCAACCTCATGTGTACGATCCTTCTCCTGTTCTGTTTTTCTGAACTTTTCCTGATCCGATAAAATAAAATACTTTTTATAATGTAGTCAGCCCTCTCCATTAAAACAACGCCAGTTCCCTTATCTGGCCTAGTTATTAAAATACCTTTGTTCTACCGGACTTACCTTAATTTCTCCATGTGTGACTACGTCAACAAGCCTCGGCATTTCTGATCAATGTTCAGGTACCGACAAGAACAGCTGACTACCATTGACATAAAAGGTTGTACGCTCGTTGCCGAAATTTAATGAAAGCGCTGAGTATGATCCAGGAGGTTTTCGGACAGTGTTTTTAACTCTAATTTCGTTTTTCGTAATGCCATTCTGGCTGAGGAAAAGGAGGAGACGCGAAAAAATAACAGGAAAATAAAAAACAAACGACAAAGGAAGAAAATGACATTGCACAGTTCAACTGACGACACGGCCTACTTGAGTACACACGGCCGGCTTAAGCCTCCGAACATAGGCTGGCGCCAGCAAAAACCGAGTCCGAGCCGGTCGGCAGCGCCAGAGGACTGAAGAACGAAGTTTGTGTCGACGAAGTGTCCGCCAATACATAAGCAGCTCACTAGGAGTGCAACAGGTCAAACGCAGACAGCTGTTTCAGGGTCGCTACCCATCATCAGTACGTCATGGGCCATATGAAGTGAGGTAGATAAACATGGTTGACAACGTTTGTTGTCGTCAGTAGGAAGCTGGCGGGCGGGCAGAATGGGATCGAGTGAGATCCTAACCACGACAGTGAGGGTCGAATGCCTACTTAAAGTGTTCTCTGTCTGATTGGCAATTGATGAAAATGGATTTAATTTCCTGACTTGAGAGGTCACTTGGTCGTACGATCAGCCAGTCTGGCGGCGGAGTGTCTTTGCGTTCGCCCAATATACTTGTGTCCACAGACGCATGAATGCATAGACACAATTTGAAACGATGTAGACAGGCAAGGCACCCTCCCCTGCCTTCGTAGGTGTGATTGATTACTAAAAACTGAGTTGCATTTTAAGTTCCTTTCATTAACCTCAACATCATTTCATTACAAAGATTGAAAATGTTAAAAGGCGGTGGCATAAGAAAGGGCTTTTTGAAATCGTGTGTTTCGTTAGTTGTTGCCTTATTTTTAGATAAAATTGTCGACGTGGCCGCTTCCTATAAGCGTCAGTTTGATCAAGTTACTTTCTGCTTCAAACATTTCACTGTCACGTGAATCCATCATCTCGGCCTCAAAGGTACGGATCAATATTCACTCAGTCGGTATCCTGTTAAAATGTCGAAATATGCTTCACCCGGATATGAATTGACCGAATTGGAACTTTAGGCCTGTTTTTTGTCTTCAGTCAAACACGACTGGTTTTCGGTGACCAGTTGACCAAAGTCTGTCGTTTCATTTTCTCAACCCATGTTGGTGTAAAGTGGAGTAAACTAGGCGCATTGCCTAATGGCTCCTAATCCGTTACCCGGCTACTTGTTATGTACGTCACTACCGCTGAACTGGCAACAACAACTTAACCACCTTCGCATTTCTTTGGTAAAATCGAAGCACGTTTACGACGAATTCACAGGCCTGATCAAGGCCACGTGCTTGTTTTATCGGCTTGCTCCACCGATCTCAAAAATTCCAGGTGATCAGTGGGCTATCCTAAAATTGGCGGTCCTGTGATAGGTTTCGCATGAAATAGACTGATTGCGTCCTCTCTTTATCTCATAAAACGATTTTCAAGTGGGCACCACGAGGCCATGTTATGAAGGGCTATTATAAATCCCTGATGAAGGCGCGCGAGATGAATGTACACTTGTGCACTTTTATAGCGGAAACTCGTCAGAGAATGCAGTGAGGAGTACAAGATTCGCACCCTGGCTGTTTTACAGAAGATTCATACTACATTCAGCTGCATCCATTTACTCACTACGAAAGCAACTGACTTGTCCCTATATTTGAGAGTAATATAGTTTTGTTGTATGCAATCCAAAGAATCGGGTTTTCAGCGCTTCCGTCGAGTCCTGTGTTCCACAGCTGGCTAGTTTAGCAGAGACCTGGAGGCCGTCATAAATTTTAGTGACCTTATTAAGTTGCAGCCTAAGCCCAAAGGAGTTACTAACATACGAGGATGCCCTTATTTTACTGCTGAGGTCACTGCCCAAATCCATATGGTGGGGCCTCTCTTCTACTATTGGCTGAAGTCTATGCACTCGCATGATAAAGGATTTTGTTCCATTTATGTGGTCGGTATGTAAAAGGACCGTCAATCGCGCCCCAGTGCTCAAAATACTCACTAGTGCACCCTCATTTTATAGTATTGGTTTGTGATGCTCCGGCTACACATCCTATCAATCGATCAGACTACAGGAGGTGTGCTAACTCACGAAGTGTTAACCGAAATTCTGAAATGCGCTTTCGACTCGAAGAGATTACTTAAGTAGAGTTGTAATATTAATTGCCATGCAGTATAGTCCCAAGATGTTTCAGTTACTTCGGGACACCAGCTTTTGAACAAACTTCTTTCGAGTCACCTGCAAAAATTAGACTCTGTAAAAAATGACTACTTAAGGAGTATGGATTTTTCCCATTGATTTTCGGTGCCCTTATAAATTCAAATATATTTCATAGAAAACATGGACAAAACTATTCGTGCTTTTACTCATTTGGACGAAAATTACATCTTCTTCAAATGTTGTACTTGAAGGAAGGGTATAATTCGGTTTTAAAAAAATTTTCCAATTCCTGAATAAGTCTGAACCCGACTTGCTGTTACACTTGGATTGAAGGTTTCCAAACTACAAGCTGTATATTTTCCGTGTGTGGAAAATCATACATTTCTATACGCTACTAAGAGAAGATCATATGGGTTCATGAAATGTAACAGTGGATTTGATCCATAATGTAAACTTAACAAGCAACATTGGTAAGGGCAGAGGCACGATGTTTCACGAGCGGGCTATTCGCAGTCTTAAAAATCTCATAATTAGAAACTTTTTTTAAAACCGCGTTATACCCTTATGTCAGCTACGAAGTTTGAAGAAGACGTAATTTTCGTCCAAATGAGTAAAAGAATGAATATTTTTGTCCATGTTTTCTATGAAATATATTTGAATTTATAAGGGCACCGAAAATCAATGAGAAAAATCCATACTCCTTAAGTAGTCATTTTTTTACAGAGTCGAATTTTTGCAGGTGGCTCGAAAGAAGTTTGTTCAAAAGCTGGTGTCCCGAAGTAACTGAGACATCTTGGGACTATACTGCATGGCAATTAATATTACAACTCTACTTAAGTGATCTCTTCGAGTCGAAAGCGCATTTCAGAATTTCGGTTAACTCTTCGTGAGTTAGCACATCTACTGTATATGTTACTTCCATATATTTGCCTTAATCCTCATTTTCTCTTCGTTGGGGTTTTCTGCCCCTTCCGCATTGAGGTACAAGGCCGCCCGAGTCGGAGAAGAGGTTTGGTTTTAAGGCGCAGGAGGCTGTAGCTAAATGCCCTAGTTGAAGGTAGATAGCAAGGTTGCACACTCGTTATCCAGGAGACTTATTCCGGTTTGTAACAATCGCGCTAACAGTCTTGTCATTCGTTACCCGTTTGTGCAGAAGCCGGTGTCTACTTTGAACGCCCGCATGTAAGCACTTGAGTGTGCGGGGGCAGCAACAGGCTTGGAGAAATCAGAACATGCGAATGTCAGTTAGGCGCGAGATGGTAAATCGTGTGCCAGTAGCATTTGATCTTTGACCTGGTGAGATGAGTCATTTTCACGGCAGCGTCGTGACCACCGCACTCGATATCAGCAAGACGACTACAGCCAATTAAGTGCTGGCGACCTCCTGTGAAGGCTGGAACGATTAATTTAATGGAGATCCCGAATGCGGCATTGGTATCCGCAGCTCCTCAAGGCCCGAGCCGGTCTAACGCATCTTTAGACTGCCGATGCATGAAAAAACACAAGTTGGGGAAGTTAAATGAGACGAAGGGTGCTCAGTTACTGGTATAAGAGCTTTCTGTGCCTGACTTTTCAGTCATACTAGAACTCACAATTACGGGTGCAATCAGGCAGACGTAGAGAGCATCTAGCTTGCTGCTTTCATAGACCGCATCTAAATCTCACAAGTCGTCCACAAAAACTAGACTCTGCCTAGCGGTCACACTCCGATAACCGCCCAAACCGGAGGACAGAACCAGGTGAGGGTATCCGTGTGTGCATATCCGCACACGGTAACTCGGCTCCGCTCCCACCATCGCTGCCCGGATAGATCACTGCCTCGGGATCTCCGAGCTGAGGCTCCGTTTTCAAACCCTGTAGGAGACCACAAGCAATCAGCAATCACCTGACTTAGTGAAAGGAAGACCGACCGCCTTCTACTTCATCGCACCTATTCTCCGCCCTTCTCCTATGCCGTTCGCTCTCTCCATTCTCTACTCCGCTCTACTCTCTTATCCCACAGACCGCCACAGCGCTACTTCCATGATGAAGCGTCGTCCGCAACCCTGCTCAGAAGGCGAGTGATCTCACAGGTGAGCCTAATTTTACTTTGTTGTATTTGACTTTGCTAGATCTCGCTTGCTGGTTTTCGTCTGCTTGTTTGTGTTTGCTAAATGTCGGCCAGCCAGCCTTCCAGGCGCCGCCGCTAACATGAACGCCTCCGTGGAGAGCAGATGGTGTCAACTGCGGGACACAGTCCAGTCGACGACCCTGGCTGTCCTTGGCCGCGCACATCGCCAACACCAGAAGTGGTTCAACGACAAGGACGCCGACATCAGCAAATTACTCGCCGAGAAGAGTCGACGGCACAAAGTCTACCTCGACCGCCCCACCGATGAAAAGAGAGTTGCTTTCTACCGCAATCGTCGTCTTGTACGACAGCGGTTGCGGGAAATGCAGGACACCTGGACGGCTCGCAAGGCCGAGGAGATCAAAGGGCACGCGGACCGCAACGAATGGAGAAAATTCTTCTCCGTGATAAAGGCTACCTATGGCCCGCCAACCAAAGGAACTGCTCCTCTTCTAATTGTTGACGAAAGCGCCATGCTCACCACGAAGACAAAAATTATACGGCGATTGGCCGAGCGCTTCAGACGCACCTTCAGCCGCCCCTCTACCATCTCCAATGCCGCTATCGCCCGTCTGCCTCAAGTGGAGGCCAACGCCTACCTTGATCTCCCGCCCTCCCTTACATGAAACCATGAAGGCTGTGCAACTATTCTCCAGCGGGAAAGCACCCATATCAGACGCGATTCCTGCTGAGATCTACAAGCACAGCGGCTCCCAACCTATGGAAAACCTGACGGTGCTCTCCCAGGAGATGTGGCGTCAAGGAAAAGTTTCGCAGGATTCTGAGGACGCCAAAATCGGGCATCTATACAAGTGGAAAGGAAAACGCCAAATCTACGACAACACCGAGGCATTTCTCTGTCCAACAGCGCCGGAAAAATCTTCACTCCCATTCTTCCCAACCACCTAGAAAAGTGTCTCCTGCCGGAAAACCACTGCGACCTCCGCCGTCACCGCGGAACCACCGACATGATCTTCGCCGCCCGTCAACTGCAGGAGAAGTTTTGGGAGCTGCGGACCCACCTCTGCTCAACCTTCATGGACATAAAAAACCTTCGACACGGTTAGTCGCGAAGGGGCTCCGGAAAATCATGCAGGAATTTGGCTGTCCCAAACGATTCATTCAGATGGTATGTCGGATGCACAATGGCGTGATGGCGTGAGTCACGGAGAGTGGAGTTGTTTCAGGAGCATTCACAATGACCAACGGAGTGAAGCAGGACTGCGTCCTCGTGCCTACCCGCTTCAGTCTCATGTTCCCTGCCATGCTGATAGACGCCTACCGTGACGAACACCCCGGGATCTGTATCGTCTACAGAACGGCCAACCAACTATTCAGTCAGTGGCAGATACACTTCCAGACGTGTGTATTCGCAACTTCCGTTCATGAAATCCCCTTCGTCGATGACTGCGCCCTCAACACCACCTCGGAAGGGGCCATGCAAAGGAGCATGGATCTTTTCGCTGCAGCCTGCGACAACTTAGGCCTAATCATCAACACGGAGAAGACGGTAGTTATGCATCAACCACCACCCGACGCTGCCTACGACGCACCACAAATCAACGTTAACGGCGCCCAACTGCTGACTGTGGAAAACTACAAGTCGTGGACAACTTCACCTACCTGGACAGCACCCGCTCTCGCAACGCCAGAATCGATGACGAAGTGGCTCGCCCGCTTTCAGAGGCCGGCAAAGCCTTTGGTCGTCTGCGAAACCAAAAGCGTATATGCTCACCGCATGGGCTTTTTAGGTAACGTGCGTGTACACGAGGGCGGAATTCGCCGCAGCCTCGAAACACCTGGAACATCCTGC